ATAATACATGAAGACATTTTGTGTAAAGTTTGTATTCAGAGATAAGTGTTCCCTGGTCTTACGGTGACGTCAACAAAAAAAGATGAGACCTTTCATAATATCTGCTCTTGCAGCCAAAATCATGCATACTTGGCGGCAAAAAGTGAACAGCTGATCAACCGATAAAGAAATGAATCACTGACATGCTAATGTTATTCACCAGCTGTTTTGTCTTTCTAATACAAAAAAAACTTTTAATCTTTGAATATGTGAACTTTGGATGTCTCAGCTGTGGAAAGTGTGTTGGAAAAGCAGTTTTCTTGATGGAGAATGAAGTTTAGCCATTGTTACAATAATATTCTATGTAGTTTTTCACTTTTTAATGTCAAACACACTTTCTGAAAGCAACTAATCTAGATGTACTGGCGGGACAGTACTGGTAGCCCTCTATTCAATACAGTGACCACTGCATATGGGCCGCTGACTGAATCATACCAAATGCAACTAACGTTATGGGAAGTGACTTTATCCAGCAGCTTATGATTGTAATGCTATGGGAACATGTATCTTTGTGGATTTTGGAGCAGAGTTGAGCCAGCATGCATGCGCTGCGTTTGTTTTTGGCCAACAACTGGAAAAGCCAGTCAGGAAGAAAGAGGTCAGTGCTGGAAATCTTGGTACCATCATGTATAGCAAGCATGGATTAGAGCTGATCTCACATACCCACACCAAAACTCCCACCAGGTCGCATTACCTACCTTAGGGTTTACCAGAGCATATGGCGTGAAGGAAGTGAGAAGGTTTTCAGTTGATTGGAGAAACTCTGAACATGTGAGAATGTAGAAGAAGAGAAGGACAGAACATAGCAGCAGTATTTGGGAAAGGATATCCCTCTGTCTCTTCCTGCTACACTGCTCATGCAAAGAAACAGAGTGGGCATGTCTCCGTGAGAGTGGGAATTGTAAAAAAGGCTAAAAAGTGCAAGTACGGGTCAGGTTACTTACTCGTTAGCAACACCAAGTTCTAGTTTTCCTCCAACAAGCCATTTCATGCTACAGAGGTGAAGCAGAGAGGGGCCATTCTCAAGACAAAGTCTCCAGTGTGTGTGTGTGTGTGTGTGTGTGTGTAAAACAGACCCCCCAGTAGTCACCAACTAAGACTGCGCGAGGTAATGCTGTTCCTCAAGGGCTTATCTGGCTCCATTTGACTGGATTTTCATAGGTCTTTCACCTAAAGGTTGAAAATCGATCTATCAAAGATTGCTGTGGTTTTGGTAGACGTTGGCCTTTTTGTGGTTATTTTTTTGCAATATTTCAGCACCTCTACTGTTTTATTAGTCTGTCTGACCTGTCTTCAGCTTAATCCAAATCAGACACCATAGTAGTAGCTCAGTTCCAAAACCTACTGTAGGCTGTGTCCAAAATCGCATACACTCGGGGAAGATAATTTGTTTAAATACAATATGAATGTGCATGAATGTAATCTGGACGTACTGCGTTCACCATGTTGTCATTGCCATGTGATCTACAAGATTTAGTTGCGTTGCTTCACTGTCATTAACAAATTATGAATTAGGTCCTCATGGGATAGTAAAGTGTCCATTGGATCACTTGACAGAAGTAGTAGGAAATTTGGGTGCTTTTCGCCAACTGTTTTATGAATAAAACATTGGACATACAGTACCACTCTTTTCACATACTGTTACTCGCCTACTATATGTTAGGGAAGTATGCGATTTTGGATGCTGCCCTAGTATTAGGGCCCTATGATTTCCATCATGAAATCCAGTCATAAAAATTGAATTTAATGTACAGCGTGGAATGTCACAGAATTATCCAAATTTTGGATGAATAAATAAGTAGGTCAGCACACATAAATCAAAATATGATATGGACAAGTGTCTGAATGTTAAGCCGCAAAAAAAAACTATTTAAATATGAATCCTGCATACATGTCTCTGTGTGAATGAATGGCACAGATGCACGGTTTCATTTACTACACACATACTGAAGTTCGTGTGACACTCACAGGGATATTAGCCTCTGCCGCCTTAATATACGAATATGTACAAGTATATGAACACATAAACATAATCTCTAGCACTGCTCTGAGAGTCACTTTGTGTGCATTTTACCATTTCTTTTGTGAAAAAATTATCATCATATGATATAAACAGAAACTGAAAGGTCTTTACAGCAACCTGTCAAAATAAAAATTCATTTTAACTTGAAGAAACTGTGACAGAAATATAGGCAATTACTTAATGACAGTACTAATACTATTAATAAAATTATTAATTAAATATTATTTTTAAGGAATATTTACCAGGGAAATTATTTACCAGAATTTATTTACCAGAAAAAAGTAAATACTCAACACAGCATTTCTGAAAAAAAAATAAAAAATAATAATAATAATTAAAAAATGTTTAATAAAATAAATTAATTAGAGATGCTTTTGATTATTAAAATGTAATGAATCCATTCAAATGGAATCCATAAAATTAATGGACAACACAGAATTTGGTAAAAAATAAAATAAAACTGAATTTGAGAAAAATTAATTTCATAGGGCCTTGAAATGTTTTTATTTTATTTTAATATATTGCTGTTAAATTGTGTAATTTTCATGATTTCAATTAATTAGACATGCTATTTGATTAATATTGTTTAATTTAACTACTAAAACAGAGTCTAGAAAAATTTAAACTGAAAAAAAGAAATCCAGATAAATTATATATATATATATATATATGTATGTATGTATGTATATATATA